GTTTCAATTTTTATTCATCCAGGATCCATTTGGTGAAAGAAATGACTTTGAAATACAACTTACCACAAACTGAAACTAAATCTTAACTCTTTCTGGTTCTAATTCTAGACTCTGTTTTACTGGCATATTTAATAAAAAATAAAGAATCAGTAACAAATTTGTTTTGTTTTGTTTTGTTTTGTTTTGTTTTTTTGAGACGGAGTCTCTCTCTGTCACCCAGGCTGGGGTGCAGTGGCATGATCTTGGCTCACTACAAGCTCCAACTCCTGGGTTCACGCCATTCTCCCACCTCAGCTTCCGGAGTAGCTGGGACTACAGGTGCCTGCCACCATGCCTGGCTAATTTTGTTTTTTGTATTTTTAGTAGACATGTGGTTTCACCGTGTTAGCCAGGATGGTCTTGATCTCCTGACCTCATAGTCCGCCTGCCTCGGCCTCCCAAAGTGCTGGGATTACAGGCATGAGCCACCACACCCAGCCAACAAATGTATTTTTTGAAATAAATGTGTAGTATGTTTTAGCACCTTATAGAGCTACTCATTCCTATTTTACTTTTTCTCAAAAATTTCCCCGTAAAAACAACATGTCAGCATACTGAATTGAGTTCTCATATCAATCCTTTTTCCTTGCTTTTCTGTTTTATTTTAATTGAGTTCATGGCAGACATTTAATGCTCAATACATATGTATTAAAGAAGATCCAAAACGCTGAATGGAGGATGCCTATCAGGAATCTCTAGGCCTTCATGTTTAATTTAACTACAAATACTAACAACCTAAGAGTACCACAATCTATCATTTCCGTACCCTGAAATCAACCTCTCCTACTCTAGCCGCCATTTCTTTACTTTTAAAAATGTATGATTTTGCTCCTTTTCTCCCCATGTGCATCAGGCCCACTCTACAAAGGTTGAATCCTGGCTTGTGTGAGCCTGTGTGATCCCACGGTCATTCCAACTGTGAGAAAGTGGGTACTGGGAATACTCTGGAAACAGTGTAGTTGCTCCTTATAAGGGCACACAGGAAAAAGTACTATCCTTTTCCTTTCTCTGGGAGCTGTTGTGAAAGAATAAGAAACCTAAAGCTGCTGCAGGGGTCCTTCTACCATCGCAGGAAAGCTGACGTGCTGTGTGTGACAGAGAAATGAGCTATGAAGTGCCAGGGTCGCTGGTGATGCCACTGGCCTGCTGAGTTGAGCAACCCTGGAGACGCCCAGCCTCGTATCTATCACCTATGTGAGATCATGGGTTAAAGAAAAATAAAGCCCACTAGGTGGGATTTCCTGCTATTCGCAGCAGAAGCATCTTCATTCAAATACTCATCCCACATATTTTAGCTCCACACCACAAGTCTCATATAAAATGAGACAAATCATTTCCTCCACTTAGGGAACAAGGCCTGTTTGTTGCAACGCTGGGATCAAACAGAACAGACATGATTATCAACTTAATATATTCCTATAGGATTTATGTTCTTATAGGATTTATATGTACTTGTACTGATGTGTATGTACAAGTAACATATAACTAAACATAAAATATGCATAAAATAAAAATTGAATTTGATTGAAAACAAGTTGTCTCTGACAGTAGAGAAATTATGCTCAAATGATTACTACTTTGAAATAGACTTCTGCATTGAGTATGTAATTTTTAGATTTGACATATTTGATACTGACTCTCAGAACACAATGGAGAACCCTCCATCTTCTAAATTTGTCTTTCTCTGAAATCTGTACAAGTCCTTTGGTAATACTATATTACTGAAGTCTCTGGAATGAAAAACCATATACTAATTTACAGTAATAGATGCACAATGCAGTAGATGGGATTAAGAAAGAGCTCTGGGCTGGGCGCAGTGGCTCATGACTGTAATCCCAGCACTTTGGGAGGCCAAGGCGGGTGGATCATGAGGTCAGGAGACCAAGATCATCCTGGCTAACACGGTGAAATCCCGTCTTTACTAAAAATCCAAAAAAATTAGCTGGGCATGGTGGTGGGCGCCTGCAGTTCCAGCTACTCAAGAGGCTGAGGCAGAATGATGTGAACCTGGGAGGCGGAGCTTGCAGTGAGCGGAGATCGTGCCACTGCACTCCAGTCTGGGCGACAGAGTGAGACTCAGTCTCAAAAAAAACAAAAAACAAAAAACAAAAGGAAAGAAAGAGTTTCGATGTACTTGCTAGCTGGTTTCTCATCTCATGTTGGCCCCAAGTTTCTTTCAGTTGTTACAGTCTCTTCTCAGTTTTTATGCATTGCCTTTGTAAACGTTAGGTTTACTTTTTTAACTGAAGTACAAATTTTATAGTGTATTTATATTGTAGAGTCAAAGTTTTGATATATGCCTATAGTGTGGAAAGTCTAAATCAAGCTATTAAACATATGCATTACCTCACATACTCATGACATATACATGAAAACCATTATTCTATTGGGAAATAATCTTCCCTTTTTCTTTTCTTTTACTTTTTTGTCCTTGGAGCCAAATGGACCAGATGATTTTTTTTCCACCTTCTTTTTATTATTATTATTATTATTATTATTATTATTATTATTAT